GGGTTTGGGGTGTAGGGTTTAGTTTTTAGGGTTTAGGGTGTAGGGTGTAGGGTGTAGGGTTTCGAGTTTAGGGCTTAAGGTTTAGGGTTTAGGGTTTGGGGGGACCTTTGAGCTCAGGTTTGTTTGGGGGGTTGCGGGTTTAGGGTGCAGGGTTTTTTGGGGTTTGGGGGAGGTTTAGGGTACAGGGTTTGGGGTTTAGGGTTTAGGGTACAGATTGTGCAGGGTACAGGGTTTTTCTGTTTGGGGTTTAAGGTTCAGGGTGCATGCAGAGGATACAGGGCTAATGCCCTGCAGCCCTGACGACAGAAACCTCCGTCCCCGCCCCTCCCGAAAAAGGAGTTGAACTCCGTGGACGAAACGAGCGGGGAGGGCGTCAAGCTCGCCGTCACCAAGGAGTCTGCCAGCGAGGCGAGTTGGAGTCGCATCTTCAGGATGAGTCTTGACGGTTTCAAGGGTGCTCGCGCGCCTTGAAGCACCTTGAAGCTAGGCAGCTAGGCCGTTTAAGTTTCGGTGGGGTGCATCCTGCATCGAATGGTGGGTTTGTTTCTGCATTGGTGTCTTCTGGGGTTCGTTGTGTTTCGGCTCTATCTAGATCCAGAAGGGCTGCTGCTGGCTCGGATTGGTGAGGATCTTTGACAGTAACTGTCCCTCAGAATCAGGCTTGTGGGTTTATGCAATTAGCAGCTTGGCTTCTTGGCTAATCGGGTGTCCTAAACCCAAGGCCCTAGACACCTCAAGCCTGAGCCCTGAACTCTAGAAAAGCCTCAGCCGGGAATCTCTTATATACCCTGAACACTGAACTGTCTCGCAGCCCAAACTCCAAATCCCAAAGCCTAAACCCTAAACCCATAGGGGGGGGGCAGGAGGTTTGGCGATGTGTGGGGTTTGCGGTGCTCAAGCCTTCCGGGCTTTGCGGCTTTGACAGCATACTTTCATCTTCATCTGTCATCTGAGCAAACATATGAAGGCTAGAAATCCATAAACGGCTCGGCCTTCGTCATTGTCACGGCTATTCTCCAACAACTTGCGTTCTTGGGGATCCTTTCCATTTCTGGGTTGTCTTTAGGAGTGGCGGAAAAGTGCAGCTTGATCCTCATACTCCCGAAGCTGCACGCAGGGCGCGCGTGTTAGGATGTATGCTGGCAGAACCAAGGGTGCAGGTTTGAATGCGAAGCCCTAAGCCCTGTCACTCTATCTTCCGAAACTTGCACCCAAAACCCCGCAACCTCACCCACCTCGCTAGCTTTTCAAGCTCCGAAGACCTGGCAGAAGGGCTGAAGAAGTAAGACTTAAGAGTGCTATCCCTCAGGGTTATTAGGGTTTAGGGTTTGGGGATGAAGTCCAAAATCCCTAGTGCCCTAGTCTAATTCTTAAGGCCTTCAGTGAGCCAGGCAGTCTCCAATGGCGTGCAGCTGACCCATGACCAGCAAGTTATGAGCAGTCGCGAGCATCACCACCGTTGGAACGAAGATCAAGAGAGGCGCAGTAACCATCGTTATGATGAGAAGAACAGAAGATCAAGAACACGTAGTAGAATTCTCAAAGTCAGAAAATGCCAGTTTCAGAAGCCTGAAACAGTAACAGGCCCCAGGCAGTGAGTCAGCTCGCCGTGCCTATGCGGTTGCCGCCAGCCATAGAAACAGTATTCGCACTATATAGCGGAAGCAGCAGGACAACTTGGGGGTCGTCGTCGCCGTAAAGTAAAGGTGGTGGTGGTGGTGGTTGTGGTGGTGGTGGTGGTCGTAGTAGTAGTCGTTGTAGTCGTAGCCGTAGTCAGTCGTAGTCGTCGTAGTAGCGATAGTAGTAGGTCGTGGCAGAGCTGCCCAACAGTGTGAGGATACGGTGCGGACCTCCACATGTTGCTTCACTTCAACAGCTTTTGTCATTCCTGATCTCGCTAGGGGTGCACTAGCCTTACTCTTCCGAAGCTGGTAAGCGCGAGAGCTGAGAGAGGCTGCAGGGTTCAAGGTTTAGGACGTCTGAAGATTCATAGCGTCAGGTGTACCCCTGACTCACGAATGCGAAATAAAACCTGGGACCTAAGCCGAAATCTTTGAAGCTAAACCCGAACCCTAACTGCTGAGCCGAGAAGCCGTCTAGCGCAGTACCCCAAAACCCTAAGCCCTAAACACCAACCCTAACCCTAAACGCTTAAATTGGTCTCGACACCAAGAAGTTCAGAAGGGCCGGACCACTGCTTCCTCGAGGCTTCCTGAGGTCGTTCGGAGCAGATGGAAAGGGGCCTTCAACACAAAAAAAATTCACAATCCCCGGGGTTGTAGAAGTAAAGAGCCGTTTTTGCATCAGTGAACGACAGGAACCCCTTAAGACCCTTCCCAAGGAAGCTGCTAGCAATTCCAGCTTCCGCGTTCGCTGGCCGACGATTGGAAACCTCGTGTGACAGCATCGAGCTGCAAAGCACCGAGTGGCTGCACCTGGGCTGAGCAATCAGTATGACTATTGCTATAGTGATCTGACTAGTTACAGTATCAAACATGCCCTCATGACAAGGCTACCGATTACTTTTGTTTGTCTATCTTTGTCTCCTGGTTGTACGACACTCGCATGGCTATCTCGCATTATAAGCTGCAAAACTCTAGTACACAGTAAAAAGGAAAAAAGAAAGTGTTAATTGCAACTGTTATCTTGCCAGCTGTTGATTTCTCCTCTCAGTCACAGCAACGAGAGCCGAACATGGACATCGCGCCGATTTAGCTGCAACACCCGCGATCAGTCAATATACTCAACCCTAAACCCTAAACCCTAAACCCTAAACCCTAAACCCTAAACCCTAAACCCTAAACCCTAAACCCTAGCCCTGGGAGCCCCTGTGCTGCAGCATCCTGATGCGATGCAAAATGATACAGCCAGCAACCCAGGCATCAAGGTCTGTTCCTACTAGCCAGCAGTGGTATTGACAAAAACGAGTGCCTTTACATTTAGCAGTACTCTATATATATATATATATAGGCTAACCCCCCCCCCCCCCCAAGAACTACCGCGAGGTGCCGCGATAGCTCCACCAACCCTCCCAGGTTTAGGCTTCTGGTGTATGATCCCGGCTTAGTGTTTGGTTTTGAACCTCCCAGAGGAC